AGTCTGACCCGGTTGATAAAAATTTCGGGTCGGGTAGTCGGGTACACGGTTACCCGGATGACTGTTTGGATCCCTAAAAACAATTATATATGGCATAGGTGCGTTTTATAATAATTGATTATATAAATCCATCTACACCTAAGCTTCTATAACGAAATTTTTTATAATAAACCCTGACACATAATGAACTGTAAAATTTTAAATTATATATGTTGAGTTTGGAAAATATACATTTTGTATATTCTTTGAATCGATTTCATTTGTATAATTTAATTCGAGTTTTACAATTCATAATTCATTTGGTCTGTTCGTGATTATTATTAAGCAGTCAAATTTATTTTAAAATATACTAATTTTGTCTCCTAGAAAGCAATTAAGAAAGTCCTTTCAAAAAAAAGCAATATTTTTTTAAAAAAGTGATTTATAAAAGCACGAAAAAATAGAAAAAAAATTTCGAATTTTCCGCGACTGTGCTCTCGATTTCACACATCAAGGTTAAAAAAATATATATATCATTATTATACCGTATAGTACACAATTTTTATATAAAATATATTACCGTACCATACCGTACAGTACAAAATTTTAATCGTATCGTACATAATCTCTATATCCCACAACCAAATCACCCTCTGTCATTTGAACCATATTAAGATGCGTCATCTATACCAAATTGAATTATGAAACATGCTTAATTACTGTACAAAGAAAGTGTCAAAAAATAAATATATTACGGGTGCGGATATCTTTGAACTTCCTCGGTTGCTTTTGTTGCGAGTTCTATTGTTCATAACTACATAAGACTTTTAATAAGCATTCACAGTTTTGAAAGAATAAAAGCAACAAGATACCTAAGCTGAATCCTTATGAGCTTTCTTATGAGCTTTGGTCGCGCTTGTTTTTGCGTAATTAACTAGCGTTTTTTGGACATTATACGAAGATTGTTATAAACTATCTGTATAGTAAGGATATATATATACTTACTACTTTCTGAATCATTTTCTTCGGAACTGGAAAATGACATTTTTACTTGATTGATCTCAGCATATAACAGTATGATTGATTATCTAGTAATAATTTTTATCGATACCCAATAAAATTATATAGAAAATATACAGAAAATATATTGAATTTATACCAAAATGTTGCAAAAACTCAAAAAATTCAACAAAAACTCAATGTTTTAAATCGATTTAAAATGGTATAATTCAATATATTTCTGTATAACCAATCTATTTTCTGTATATTTTCTGCATAATTTTTTTTTTTATTGGGTTGATTTATGGTGATCAAACACATTATGGTATATATCGAACTTGCGATTCTTATAAAATTTTCTAGTTTATATTTTTAACCAAGACCAGTTTAAAAAAAGCCGGTTTAGAATGTTGAATCTTTGTTAATTTATTAAATGCACCACCGTTACAAAGTGTTAAATATTTGTATCATAGTCGTTATATTTCAAATTTTAATTCAGTGTTGGGTACTTGAATCAACTTGTTCTACTGGACCTATAAACTGAAACATCGGACTTACGGAATCCAATTGGAACGCATAACGATAAGTACAATTCCAATTCAAATTACACAGCGAAACACCCTCATATCTGTTGCGGATAAACCCTTTTTACAAAAATCAGTCAATTTTATAAGTGCTGTAAGTAGATGTTCATCAACTCAACAGACCTGAATGAACGAGTAAAGTTTTAGACATGTGACTTGATCCTTAAGATCAGTGCTGATTTCTAACCTGATATACTGCATAGAAAACGGGTTAATAATCTTTATGCTCACTGGTTAGATTAAAGGGTGCTTGGTGTTCCATGATTTAAATATTCTAGAATTTTGACCATCATATAAGGTGCGATCTGCACCGTCCAAAGTTGGTAATGTCCCAGACGGTTTCTTTTCTTTACGTTTAGAACAGGTTTCACGGCGGTTATGTGTTTAAAAGAAATGTATGCGACTCGGAAAAACACAAAACTCAACAAATACATTTATCTATCTTTATTTAGAATCGAAGATACAATTTGCTTGAAAATGTTCTCTAATTTGCGATGATTTGAATTCTTATTTCAGTCCCAACCGGCGAAAAAATGTGCCGCTGGGCTGAACAAAGTAAATAATCTCCGATTTAACCGGCATAAATTTTCACATAGAATGTTCGGTGCTAATAATGCTGCCCATTGTTCAAGGTTCGCTACCTAACCATGGTACTTGCCTTAATAAGCAATATGTCGCAATCGCTTATAGACAAATTTTTTATGCTCGTTTAATTTAATGAAAACAATAAAGTGTGCGGCTAAAATCGTGCAACCCCTTGCAATATTTCATATTTTCTTGCAAGGTTAGCCTTTTACTTTTTTTGGCACTAAGGTACTTGTATCACCCCACGAGGTCGGTTCCTTTTTCCAGAATCCTCATCCAAAGTTTTATACCCCTGCAACTTTTTTGTCTAGAAACATTTTCTCCCCACTAAAATTCGGACTTTTTATAGGTTGGTCTAACGTCAGCATCCATACATCTAATCAATCTTTGTATAGTTTCTATATTCATATGTGTATATATATGCTGTAAACTTCTCTAAATTTCTTTTTTTTTTGCCATTCAGGTAACCGAACGTTATTGGCAAAAACACGTTACCGCTGTATATATTCATATATTTCCGAAACAGCCACTTAAAAATCATATACAGCATTCAACTATTTTTCTAAACTTGTCTCTTCTGCATTTTGTTACATTCTCTTACATAATTCGTTTTTACAATTCGAAGTAATTTTGGAAATCTAACCATGGACCCTAATAGTAATAATGACGATAAAGATAGCAATACAAATGCTGTCGACAATGTTCAAAGAGACATTAGTAGTAGTGATGCAAAAGATTTTTACCCACAGTCAGAACCGCCTGGTTCTACCTCCCTTCTGGCCTCCTCCTCACCGACTTCTCCGACTCCTCTCGTTGCTTCTCCACTTCACGAGCAGCAGCTTGTTTCTGCTACAGTTACCGCTGCTTCTCCAACCCCCACCATACCAGCTTCTTCGCCTTCTATAACAAATAATTCGGCGACGACGACAACGACAACAACGACAACGACAACGACGACGACAACGACAACAACAAATGCAACACACAAAACACAAGCCGCCTTTGTAAATAAATTATACACGTAAGTATTTCTTCAACCTCCCGAAAAATTAAAAATCTAGCAATGGTTAATAGTTTTCGGTCTATGTAAAGAATAGCATTTGCGGAATCTCGGCTATAAAAAGAAATTATATCATTGATCATGAAATATATTATTCATCTCTATCCGTGAAATTTTCATCCTAAATTACTTCATTTCACTTCTCATGGCAAAGGACGCGTCTGCCATTCAATAATTCTAATCACCTATGAACATTGATTAATTTCTACTCCCTTTTCTTTTAGAATGGTAGAAGATCAATCGATACAACACTTGATTTCATGGGCAATTTCTGGTGATGTTTTTAGTGTATCGAATCCTACCGAATTTTCAAAAACTGTCTTGCCACAATATTTTAAACATAACAATTGGCAAAGTTTTGTGAGACAATTAAACAGTAAGCTTAATGGTTTTCTAATGTTTTTATATACTATCTTTCGATATTACTTAGTTCATTAAATATTTGAATTTATTAGTGTATGGTTTTCATAAAGGTATTTTTCTTTTCTTAAATTATCAATCTTTTTTTTATAATATTTAAATAATATAATTGTTCTTAATTATCTCATTAAAGTAAATGATATGTTTCACGCAAATCCGACGAGTGAGAGTCAAGCATGGGAATTTAAGCACCCAGAATTTCGTCGAGGACAACTTGCTGCCTTACAAAATATTAAACGTAAAAGCGCAAAGCATCAATCATCTAATCATATTAAAGGAAATTTATCTAGTGCTGGTACTGGACAAAATCCATCATCAGATATTACTGCTGCTGATGCTGTGCGTGATGAAAAGATTGAATATTTAACAAATCAAATGGCTGAGATAATGGAAAAAATGCGCCAAATGAGTGAAAATTATAGCTTACTTTACGCAGAAACCGTTTCGTGCCGAATGCAACAATCGAAACACGAAAAGGTATTTGGGTGTACTACATTTTTATTCATTATTATCCTTATAGTCCTTCATATATTGCAAATATTTACTCTATATTATAGGTAATTACTGATATTGCGAATTTTCTTTCATCAATACTACGTGAAGGTACGATTTTATGCGAAATTTATTATCTTTAATATTAACCTTAAAATATAATTGCTAAAATTTTGTATTATTAATTTTTTTTTTTTTTTTTTTTTCTCTTTAGAAGAATCTAATGATCCAAGGAATTTGAAACGAAAATTTGACGGTATAGTATATATATATATTATCCAAATAGTTAATATTTAGTACGCCTGATATAAAATTGGATGTTAAAATTATATCGTTGATTTATAAAGTGGATTGTATACAAGCAGAAGTAGTCAAGTTTGGGCAAGGTGATATACCACCCTCCCCTCATCCTCCTATGATGCAATTTCCCCATTACTATAGAGAAGGAATGCACCCAACTCGATCAATGTCAACTCCACAACCCATGATTGGAGTTGAATCTACTTCCTCTTCGCATCATTCTTCATCATTCTTGGGTTCGCAATCTCTTCATAGATCGCCCACTAAAATTCCATCATCTAGTCCTTTATCTATGTTACCGGAATTACCATTTACACATCATTTTCAACCTAGCAATAATTATCTTCGGCATCGTTCTCCTGAGCCGATAACGAATACGAGCCCTAGTGGTGAATCAAGAACTTCATCTATAGACGCTTACAGATCTTCCTCTATACAATCTACGAGTTCTAACTCGTCTCAAACAACTCCGAAATACCCTCAACCTAGCCGTTCATCAACACACCCGTCACATATGCAATCAGCGAGTACACCAAGTCGACGAGCGTCACAACCTACTACCTCTCTAAGTTTTGGTTCTGATAGCAATCTATTAAATCCATCTGAAACAAATAGATACAAAGACAATAATACAACTACAATACCAAAATCGCAAAGTGCTACATCATCTTCTCCCACTCCCTATAGTAAGTCTGAAGATCCAATCGTTACCAATCCCACGACAACACAGCAACGACCCCCTCCATTACCTGATCCCCCAGACAATGAAATTGAACATAATAAACGTCACAAGAAAAATTAATGCATATAGAAAAGAATTGATAGCTTAAATATTTGGCAGGTGTCAATTGGTATATCGGTCTTTCTAAACACAATATTTTTACATGATTATATTAATTCCCTTTATATATTTTTAGGATTTATTAAAAATTACATATACTTTCTCAAAAGAACGTTTATGGAATGTTTCATTTGTAAATTTAACAGTGTGGGATGAGCGATTATTAAAAAAAAAATTTTTTTGGTGTGATTATCAGTTGTATTTGAAAATGTTGCATGGGCTTTATTTTTGTACCATGTGCATAATAATTGTGTATAATAAATAATGTCAGTTTATAAGGATTTACAATTATATTAAATCTGCGTAGCTACTTGAATGTAGGCAAAATTTCAATGGATAATTCATAATTAACGCCCGCGGAAATTTTCCATTGGCCTGCCTGCCTGTAGATTGCCAACGAATCGCTTACATTGATAATCAAAGATTAATATAAAATTGATTCGCGAAAATTACGCAGAAATACCATTCTGATAGATCGTCGGTACTGAAAATCGATTTACGTATCTTTCCTGATAGAGTTTTAAAGGAACCTCTAACAATGCTTAGATATAATGGTACTAAGGTTATGACCCGTTATTAATCCATAACGTTGATCTCGAATTTAAAATAATGCATTGATATTTGTGCTGAAAAAAAGTTTACTCAGTGACCAAAAGCTAATTGCCATACAAGTTATTTCCGATTCTTTTTTTTTCTTTTTGAATTTTACGTTACATATTGATCTTTACAATCGGATTGGGTAGTAACAACGACTGGCAATTTTTGCGCCGTGGCTTTACTCGATAGTAGTGATGCATAACGGCTCGTAAGTCGATCGGCTTAGCCGAGCTAATAATTGCGGCTCGGCTTAAGAAGGTCCACGAGCTTTTGGCATCAGAGGTCTTTTTCGATTTTTAACAGCTGCCCTACCTTGTTTGGTGCGTCGAAAGTGCATTGGGGGTACATCAAGTATAACCT